ATGAATCACTTCACATTTGAATGCAAACAGAACACATGTATTCTTCATATTTTCTATTTTTATTTAGAATATAATTACTGAAGACATGGCTGTATGGGCGTGATCTTTTTGCCATCTCTTCAAATAAAACAGCATAGAAGCACTGGGGTAGCCAGCATAAAGACAAAATGAAAAACTTTGCTTGTAATTTAAAAATAAACGGAGGTAAAATAAAAATTGAAATTCATAGGACATTCTAGAAAAAATAACAGCTTTTCAATGATATACTTCTCATGGCTGCCGGTTTTTGACTACCACTTTTATACCGTCTCCTTTGCCATTTTCCTAATAAAGGGATTTTTGACATTTGAACCACTAACACAAAAGTTCGAAAAAAAGACTGAAATAACAGTTTTCTCTAAAATTTTATTGGGTAACTTAAACAATTAATAATCCGTATTTCTACCGCGAACACTAACAACACAAGAACATCGGTTTGGCATACTCAAAATGAGTTCATCCAAATCACGCTGTGGAATGGCCGCCCATGTTCGTTGCAACAACAAAAAAAGGTCTTCTTGCGACTGGATACCCTCTATATTCGGCAGAGCTCTTCTCTGTAGCATATCCCATGCATGCTCAATCGGGTTCAAGTCTGGCGACTGAGCAGGCCAGGGCAGGACATTGATGTTAGCTGCGGCGAGAGTCTGTCTTACAACTCTTGCGGTGTGCGGTCGTGCATTATCATGAATTAACTGAAATAAGGGACCGATTTGCACTTGTAGAGGAACGATGACGTCTGATACAATCGTCTCAGCATAAATTTGAGCGTTGAGGTTGCCTCTGATCCAAATCAACTCAGTTCTTCCGCCGATCCAAATACCCGCCCATACCATGATGGTTCCACCACTATAAGGATGGACTTCCTGGCAGGATTTTAATCGCTGTTGGCGTCCAGGGGTTCTCCAGTGTCGTATACGTCTTGTATCCGGTCTCATACCAAAACGAGACTCATCAGAAAAGCACACGAAACGCCATTGTTCTTCTGCCCAATTTCTGTGTTCAAGAGCCCATTGATATCGAATCCTACGATTGTGCATTGCTATAGGTGGTACCCGTAGCGGTCTTCGGGAATGAAGGTTCACTTCATGCAAGCGGTTTCTGACTGTTTGGTCGCTAATTAAGTTCCCTGAAGAGTGATGAAGCCTCACGGCTAACATCATGGCGGTTATTGTTGGAGCTCTTCGAGTTAAGATTTGAATGTATCGGTCTTGTCTCCGTGTGGTGCAGCGATACCGTCCTCCATGGCGCTCAGCCACGGTACCAGTGCTTCGGTATCGTGTCCAAAGTCAACTGATAACACTCTGACTTGTATTCAGAGCTAAAGCCACAGTACGTTGCCGGGAACCAGCTTCTATCATTCCCACGGCTCTGAGCATTTCTTCCCTGCTTAAATGACGTCGCCGCTCCATAATAACGTTGGTTTTAATCAGTAGTAGGGAAACAGTAGCACTAATAATGTCTTCAATGCGTTGTATGTTTTTATAGGGAAAATATTGACAGCTGATTTTCATCTTTTACTTGAATTTGATTCACAGTTCCTGATTCAAATTATGAAATGCACCAAAAAGGATCCATATAAATTTATAAAATCATAAATTTATTACAAAGCCACATCTCAATCTCAAGAAATCCGCATAAAAATGCTTGATCCCTAGACACTTTTGATGTGTGTATTTTTGGGAAATTATGGTCATCCTAAGGGCCTGCACTGCGTTAAGCGGGAGCACGAAGGTACCGTCCGCTTCGCGTGTTTGATTCATGTTTATTCACAGAGCAGCGCTGCCTGAAGCGGATCTCCCGTCGCGCTCGTAGTATCTTCGCCGTGCCTCCCCTATGTGCGCTGCGCCTTATAGTGCTTACTTACTTTCCCTCAAAACAAGCTTTTATCTTTCGACAACAAAATAATTATGGGGCACCCAGCGCTCTGCACTATCACTACTGTTTTCGGTTCTAAAATAAAATATCGATTATTGTAGGTTTTAAAACGATAATTTTATTTAAAATAAAAACTTTTTTATTAAGTACCTGTACTTATAATAAAGCTAAAGTTCTTATATGTATTTCCCTTTTCCAGTACTCATTTTCTATACGTACAGATGATTTATTTCCTTCTTTTGTTTATAAAGGACATTGTTCTGCGTCCATACATAGTTAGCCTAAGAACCAACAATCATGAAATATTATTTTCTAGGTTCGAAATCGCAAGTAAATGACTGTAAAAACAAAGATTATTGACGGACACTTCTGAGAACTTAAATTATTAGGAAAACTATTTTTTTTTTGAGGTTATGTTTAATATTCAATGAAACATAGGTCAACCTACGAACTTAGTATGAACTCAGTTTGAAGTGAATTAATATTACAACTAATTCATATCATTCGGTGCGATTTTAAAGAGTAACTATTAGGAAAAGCTTGCTTAAGTAGGAATCATGAATAAAATAAAAACTGTAGTTTTGCTTCTTATTATGTATTGGCTATTTTTCACATAATTGTATCATAATGTATTTATTTGTTTAACACATGTATATTGTGTAAATATGCAGCGTGAATGTATATCAGGTGCTTTTGAATAATTTGGCAGTATGATCCTCTCAGGATGTTGTGGCACAGGTTCACTAGCACTTGGTAATAAGGTCTCAGCTTTTTGGTAACATCGATGGGATATTAGATAGCCGAAATAGTAAAAGTTAAATTAAAGGAAAAACAATCGCAAATAAACACACACAACAGGTAATCCGAAACGAGAATTTTCCGTATATAAAAAGTACTGAAGAATGCACAAATGCCACAGATTACTACGAATGCAAACTGCCTGCACCGCAACACAGAGTATCGAGTTTATGCCGGCCCTTCACTTGACAACAGTTTGTCCTTGTCATGCTTAATAAGGAATGAAAAGGACAGACTGATGTCATGTTTTAAATAGCAAATACGAATAGCCAAGTGAAGTGCCGGCATTAGGAAGAAAGAGTGTTTTGTTTGCAACGCTGTCATAGATTATACACATATTTATTGTCTCAGATTATTTATTAACTTTTTAATTTAGCTTACTTAACTGGAAGTGTCCGTCACAATCTAAATATTGATAATTATCGCAAAAAATATACTAAGAATTATAATAAATGCCAAATTAGTGTTGGTTCTTAGGCCAATTTTAACATTGTCCTTTATGTTTATAAATAATTTGGTTTTTATTCTAAGATTAGCTCAGTGCTAAGGTGTTCTAAGATTTTTTGCAAACCGTATTGTTCAAGCAAAATTTGAGACATGGAGGTCATTGGCTTTCCTATTCTTATTTGAATCGCATAGTACCAACGATATTAAATATCCTAGATACACTACGTGCGCTCAAAATGTGTCCCAATCAAGAAGTGCTTGAACACGACTCAAGCACTGGTTCACAGTCACGCGCGGACCGCTGAAAAGTCAACATGCCGCTGAGCTCCGTGAAAAAATGCTAAACAAATACTTATATAGAACGTAAAATATCGTTTTTTCGACAGGTAACCCAATCAATGTTTGTTAATTCAACGAATTTGAAGAAAATTTTGTTTTAATTCTTACTATAAACTGATTTAATAGAAAATATTTGTGATATACAAATGCATGGTCGGTAATATAGCCGTCTCTTTTCCTCTCGGTTCGTACCTGCTATATTGCTAACAGCGCATTCAGAATTGTCGTAGAGTCAAAGAATATATTATATGGTCTATATTCTTCCGCATATAGCAATCAGTTGTAAAATTTTACGAGCTTACATTTCGGACTGTCGTAACTCTTTGACGCATGCGTTTTAATTAAGACCTGATACATTGTGCTTTAAAGGTGATGTTCAAGGTTTAAATAATGCCTTATATTGTTTAGACTACGCGATCACCTTACGGAGCTCCGCGGATCGTCCAATGTACCTTTTGGGCACGTTTCGGGCATGATTTTGTTCGAGTTGGTTGTTGGAGTTGTTCGATATCTAGGGTATTTAATATCGTTGCATAGTACGCATAAAATTTTACAAGTTATTTGAAAACAATAATATAAGTACATGGTTATTTCGTTAAAAAAATACAAAAATATATTAAAAGATTATAACATTTATTAAAATTACAGGGCATTAAATAAAGCACGGGGGGCCCAAACGGCGATTTTGGCATTTACTCTAGGGCGTTAAAATAACTTATGGGGGGCAAACTTGCACCTTGTGAAGGCTATCGCTTACGATTTCATTTTGTTATTTCTGACCGCCGAAGGTTTTCAAATGCCATGAGGGTTCACGTAACATTTCTGATGTTGGAAAAATATTAAACAGCCGATTTGTATGCACATAAAGCACCACATTAATATTTTTGGTTAAACACTTACATCGACATTTTCACGCTGCTTTAATGACTCCATACAAGGCACGATGCACCATGGTTTCTCATTATTAGCCCGCCCATTGTGAATGGCATGGATTTACTGTTGTTATATAATATCATTGCCACGTACAATATAATAAATTCTGCGCGCGCGGCCATTACGTGGCAGTGAGAAATCAAAGTCCATGCCACAGAGTACCTTATTATAACCGGAAAGTCCATGCATGCAGAAAGTGACGGAGTGACAGCCATAGATTAACTAAGGCACAGATTAGGCTGTTACCACAAGAAAAAAAAAAGTCGGAAAAGTGTAGTTCTGCCTTAGTTTTATCATATTTTGATTAATATTTATCTTTGTTTATTTTATGAAATGATATTTATTTATTTTATTTTATTTTATTTTTTTAAATCATAGCATTTTGTTTGGCGTTCGGACGTCATAAGGCGCTGGCTGAAAATCAGCGCTGCTGTGGTATTGCGAAAGTACTACCACAGTAGCATAGCTGAGACAGCGACCTGTTGGCCCTGCACAGCAACACCAGCAGATTAGTTTAGTTGTTTTTTTTTGTTTTTTTTGTTTATTATTATTTGTTTTTTTTCTTTGTTGTTATGTTCTTTCAAATCTGTTTTGTTTCCAATGTATGTATGCTGTGCAACCAATAAATGTTTTTCTTTCTTTCTTTCTTCTTATGGTGTGAGGATGACCGCACTAAGAGGTAGAAAAAAGAAAAAAAAATCGGGCGCGTCAGTCAATACGGATGTAACGTAAACCCTTCAAAAGGCTTTCATCATGAACTAAAAGTCATGGCCGATTGTTTTTTTTTTGCTGCCCTAGTTGTTCGACCCTATATATAGGGCTCAGGTATGGTGCGAGTACTTCACAAGGTGCATGGTTGCCCCCCTTATGTTATTCTGCCGCGCTCGAGTAAATCCCAAAATCCCCGCTTGGGCTCCCCTACTGATTTATGTTCTTGATTTATGGAAAATAAGCAGATACTGGTGTAGCTTTATAAGTAGAACCCCTCGATGTTTTCTTTTCTCTGTAATCTACGGTAGGTAGGCTCGCAACTTTGTTTTCCTTTCCTTTATTTTTACTTAATGATTCTGTAGTTTTCGGTCGCAGGATCCCTAAAAACATGGAAAAATTTCTTTATTTTCACACAATTTATTTACAGGCACAGTTTTTAATAGGGTAGTCGCTTATGCTTGCATGAGCGAATGCCCTCTTTCGACCGCGGTCAGTCAACGGCCCGAATACGGCTAACGCCCAACGGTAATCGCACCATAACGCGAGAAAAAAAAATGTTGTTCGTCAATGATTTTCAAAACTAACATTTATTCAATTTCAATTTCCGCTCATTATTTGAGAAAAGTACTGTACAAGCCTTGGCCACAACTAGACATTGATGGATGAATGTGTTAATCCAATCCAATCTACATAGGGGCCAATCCGCACTCGTCCCAATGCGCACAGGGTCCAATTCCCATTAGGTTTTAATGACTACAATAATTTTTAAATAAATTTTAATTAAAGAATTAAGAAAAATAAAATTACTTTAATTTCCTCGTAGGTATAGCATAAAGCACTATGTATCCCTCGAAAGGAAGTACTATTTCCAACTCGGATGTATTAAGTTTCAAACTACACCACTCTCAATAGTCACTTTCTCTTCTTAGACCAGGGTCGATAATTTTTGAGACCAAAAAAAATTATAGTAGGATGAAACCCATTAGAAAAGGTAGAGAATATAACAAAAATGAAAGGAAAAATAAATTACGGGCGATCTGAGGTCGGGAAGGGGGAGGGGGTGAGTTTTTAAGGGTAAAAAATGGTTAATCTCGATTTCCGGTAAAACTGCAAGTCCTATGAAAAAAGTTAAATGGCAAAGTTGTAGGTAATAAAAAGATCTACAACTTTTGTATCGACACTTTTTTCACATAACCTCAAAATTTATGTGAAAAATGCGAATAACCAAGTTTTTGGTTTTTGATTTTTATTTTTTGCAAAAAAAAAATATTTTTTCACGAAATTTGGTGAAAACTGACCTTTGTATGTCCCAAACATACAGTAATTTTTTTGATTTAAAATATTCACTTTTTCACCTTATTTTGACTTAATATCCAAAAAGCACCCTTATTTTCAATCGAAAATTCTCACGTCAAAATATCTGCTTTTTTTAAAAAATTGGGGTGTTTTTTGTTTGTTGAAATCTCTACTTTCTCAGGGTATAGAAAAAATATACACTACTATGGTAAATGTTCTCAGAAACTGCAAATTAATAATGAAAAAAACTACCATCCGAAAAATTGATTTGAATCATCTACTATATAAAAATAAGTCGGGTTTTCCTTCCTGACGCTATAACTCCAGAACGCACGAACCGATTTCCACGGTTTTGCATTCGTTGGAAAGGTCTCGGGCTCCGTGAGGTTTATAGCAAAGAAAATTCAGGAAAAAATAAAAAAAAAAACTTCTTTTAATCACCAAACGAAATGTTACATAAAACGAAGCCATCTGGTGGCGAAACGGAGTTCGCGGGGTTTACTATTTATTAAAATTTACACTTTAATTACTCGAAAAACGTAAGATTTCATGTTATATTGATAAACAGAAAAATTACAAATCCATAAAACATGCAAAAATAGTTGTTGTAAGTAGGTATTAAAAATAGGATTTACGGATTCGAGTTTTTTTCATTATTAATTTGCATTTTCTGAGAACATTTATCATAGTAGTGTATATTTTTTTATACCATCAGAAAGTAGAGATTTCAACAAACAAAAAACACCCCAACTTTTTTAAAAAAGCAGATATTTTGACGTGAGAATTTTCGATTGAAAATTAGGGTGCTTTTTGGATATTAAGTCAAAATAAGGTGAAAAAATGAATATTTTAAATCAAAAAAATTACTGTATGTTTGGGACATACAAAGGTAAGTTTTCACCAAATTTCGTGAAAAAATATTTTTTTTTTGCAAAAAATCAAAATCAAAAACTCGGTTATTCGCATTTTTCACATAAATTTTGAGGTTATGTGTAAAAAAGTGTCGATACAAAAGTTGTAGATCTTTTTATTACCTACAACTTTGCCATTTTACTTTTTTTCATAGGACTTGCAGTTTTACCGGATATCGAGATTAACCATTTTTTACCCTTAAAAACTCACCCCCTCCCCCTTCCCGACCTCAGATCGCCCGTAATTTATTTTTCCTTTCATTTTTGTTATCTTCTCTACCTTTTCTAATGGGTTTCATCCTACTATAAATGTTGGCGACTGGCTGGTTAATCATAGTCATTTTAATTATATTCTTTTTGTCATCCTTTTTATTACTAGTCTCTTTTAATTTTGGCTTTTTTCTTGTCATTCTGGTTGTTCTTGTTATTGTTCGTATTATATTTTATTTCTACTTGCAAGGCTCGCTTTTATTTGCCCGTCCACTTATTCGATAATATTTTTGGTCCTTCGACATGGTAAATACTAGATCTATGGCGGCAAAAGTAGAACTTGTTGGTAGAAATACGGTGGCAGCCGAGGCCGATGTAACTTTTGTCCCCGCCCTAGGGGATGGGGTTGCACCAGACGCGGCTCTGCCAGCCGAAGATATCGGCGCGAACAATACTACTCTGCAGCCGCAAAGCTTTGTTACAGTTGCCGCTCACAGCCATCGCAGATCACGTCATTCGACGTCGACCCTTGCTGCGAGAAAGTTGTCCGCGGTTGCAGAGCTTCGACGCAGGCAGCTGGAGCGAGAGCACGCGTATGAGCTTATGCGCCGAGAAGTAGAGGAGTTGGAATTGAATGCAACACTTGCCAAATTAGATGCGTCTACTGCAAGTCAGAGTAGTGTTGCTTCTTCCCATATCACGCGCACTCATTCTTGGGTTCAGAGCGTAAGGAATGATCTCCCTTATGACTCAGGCGTGCCAGCCGTTGCACAAGACATCCCACCGCCACAGTCAGCGGCACCCTTGTGTAACAACGTGGCCTCACAATTGACCCAACCACATGACCCGCGTGTGGAACTCCCTTCTACAACCTTCTCAAGCGGCATTGAACAACTAGCTAGCGCAATAGCAGCGCTACCAGGCAAGGTACATCCAAGCCCATTCCCGCATTCAGTGGTAATTATAGAGAGTGGTTCTCATTGAAGTCTACCTTTTTCAGAACACAAGGTAAGTTCTCACAGTCAGAGAACGTACTGCGTTTGTCCGAAGCTCTACGTGGCCCAGCACGCGTGTCCGTGGCGTGTTTACTCCACACCACCCAGGACCCAGGTGAATACGTGCGCGCGCTAGAGCAGACATACGCTCGGCCTGAAATCATCGTAGCCCAAGAAGTAGCGTCGTTACGTTGTCTTCCTAAAGTGAGTACACCCGAACATCTAAATACGTTCGCGAACAAAGTACGTGATTGTGTTGCTGTCGTAAAGTCGCTCGAACAGGAGCAGTATCTTTATTCGCCTGAAATTTTGAGAAATGTGTTGTCAAAGCTCAATGACTTGACTAAGTCTAGATTCGCAGACTATGCAGCTGACTCACATGTACAGAACCTTTCGAAATTAGAAACTCTTTCTGTTTTTCTCATTAGAGAAGCAGATAGACAGTTAAGATACTCCTACGTGCCTGACTTCACCGCTACTACATCTACATTTAACAACACAAATGCAGTTCGGCCGTTTATGGTCCCTAAGCGTGAAGTTATTCATCATGCTTCCGCGAGCAAAGAGGTTGCTCCTTCGAACTGCCTTTATTGTGATAATGGGCATAATATTAGAATATGCAAAGAGTTTAATGTTCTTTCCTTAGAAGACAGATGGCGTTGGGTCCGCGATAACAAAGTTTGTTTCAGGTGTTTGAAAGGCGGCGCGCACAGATGGAACAATTGTAGAGCCAAACGCTGCGGTGTCGCGGGTTGTATCAGGCGACACCATGCTCTACTCCATGGCGCAGCTCCGAATAGTTATGCACCATCCGACGTGAAAAGCACAACAACGAGTGCCAACGTTTGTTTACGTGACCCAAAGACATCGCTTCTTGTTACGTCCACGAATGGAAATCAACTTTCGTCTCCACCTGAAGTGTCAAATGACGCTACCGCACTTTGCTCTAATACTGTGTGTAATATTTCAGACAACCCTCCCTCACCGCCTCGACCACGCGTACTTCTCAAGGTCTTGCCGGTAGTTGTCCGAGGTGCGGCCGGTGAATTTGATACATACGCCCTGCTCGACGACGGCAGCACCGCGACGCTCATCGACGCCGAGGTCGCTGCTCATATCGGAGCAGAGGGCACTCTCACTGAATCTATACTCATTGAAGGTATCAGTGGTATGTCCAAACGGGCAACCGTAGGTTTCACTGAGTTTTATATCAGAGGGCGCAACTCAAGCAATGAGTATTTAATTCAAAATGCTCGCATTATAAAATCCTTAGGGCTCTGCTCGCAAACCATAGATACAAACGACTTGAGAAAATACAAACATCTGTTGTCGTTGTGTGACGTTTTATCCTATGAAAATGCGAAACCAACTATACTGATAGGGACAGGAGACTGGCATCTCTCACTCGCGAGAGAAACACGATGTGGCAAGTCATCTCAACCCGTCGCTACTCGTACTAGTTTGGGTTGGACGTTACACGGTTGTATGTCGAGCAAAACGAAACCTATCGATTTCGTTAACTACTCGATGGATAATATTCCTGATACTAACTATGACTCTATAGAGGCACTGATGAAAGAACAGTATAGGCTTGATAGTTTGGGCATCTCAAGGCTCCCACCTAAAAACAGTGAGGATGATCAGCGTGCACTTGACATTATTGACTCAACAGCGCATCGCCTTCCGTCTGGACGTTTTCAAGTGGGTTTGCCTTGGCGTCACAAACAGCCTATCTGCTCTCCAGATAGTTACCCTCAGGCTCTCTCTAGATTCAAGTCGCTAGAGAAACAGTTCTCTAAGGACCCAACCTTCGCAACAGCATACAAAAATTTCATCGACGGTATAATTAACAAAGGTTATGCTGAAGAATGCTCCGTGGAGTCTTATTACAGCCATGGAGATAACAGCAAAGGTCGTGTTGCCAACAACCTTTGCTGGTATCTCCCTCATTTTGGTGTGTATCATCCGCAGAAAAAGAAAATTAGAGTCGTGCATGATGCGGCCGCTGCAACTAAGGGAGTCAGTTTGAATTCTCTGTTGTTGGTGGGTCCAGATTTACTTCAGTCGCTTTTGGGTATTTTATATCGTTTCCGAGAAGGGAAAATCGCCGTAACTGGCGATATTCGGGAAATGTTTCCACAAATTCGTGTAAGGGAACAAGATAGGGACGCACAAAGATTTTTATGGCGTGACAGTAGTAACCCTTCAATAGTTAAGGTTAACCCTTTGGCACCCAAAGCAAAATTTTTCAATCCTATCAAAGAATTTCGGATGTCCTCCATTATTTTGGTGCGGCATGCAGTCCATTTATAGCACAGCATGTTAAAAATAAGAATGCGTTAGAAATGAGCGATCACTATCCTGAAGCCACCCACGAGATTATTCATAATCACTATATGGATGATTATATAGCTAGTTTTCATTGTTCATCCGAAGCTGCTAAAGTTATTTCCGATGTTTATACAGTACACAAGGCAGGTTCTTTCGAGATGAGGTCATGGATCTCAAACGATGCCAATGTATTGTGTTCCATCCCTAAAGAATTGCACGCACAACCTGGTACTGAGACTGAATTGCCGTCAGACGTTAGCGCTTTAGGAATAAAATGGAACCCTTTGAATGATACTTTGGGGTTTCGTACAGGGATTGGTACCTCAAACCAAATATTAAGTAAACGCATTGTTCTTTCAAATGTAATGAAAGTTTATGACCCACTTGGACTCTTGACGCCAGCAACCATAAAAGGCCGTGTAATGATTCAAAATATGTGGCGTGAAGGGCTGAGTTGGGATGAGAAGCTTCCGCTTAGATATGAAAATTGTTATACTGATTGGCTAAAAGAAATAATGATTGCAACCTCGATCAGAATTCCTCGCTGGTATGGTTTCGAGTGCGGAAACTTACAGCCCATCGCTACCCAGTTACATTTGTTTGCAGACGCTAGTGAACGGGCATACGCTTGCGTCGGATACTTCCGTTTTGAGTTCGGTAATGGACAGCTTAAGTTGGCCCTTATAGGTGGCAAGGCACGTGTCACACCACTTAAGCCGTCCACTATACCTCGCTTAGAGCTTCAAGCTGCTCTCATAGCGCTTCGTCTAGCGTCTACATTCAAAGAAAGCCATCGAATGAAGCCGTCTTCAACCACCTTTTGGACGGACTCTTCTACTGTATTAAAATGGTTGCGTGGTGACCCACGGCGCTATAAGCCATTCGTCGCACATCGTGTAGGAGAGATCCTTGAAAATTCCCACCCTTCAGATTGGAGATGGTTTCCCAGTCACTTGAATGTCGCAGACGATGCGACACGAAATAATTGTATTTTTCTGGACTCGACGCACAGGTGGTTCGCTGGTCCCCCCTTTCTTTTACTTCGTCAAAAGGAGTGGCCAGAAGAACATACCTCAAACGAGGTCGCACCACTTCCGGAAATGAAGGAAGTGGTGGGATTTCTCACAAATGAGCCTCTACAAGAGCCTCCGGTGCCAGACTCATTTCGATTTAGTGCCTGGCTCCGGTTACTGCGGGCTACCGCCTGTGTTTTATTAGGCGCGAGAAAGTTTCGGCTTCTTATTAGTTCCCCATTAAATCCATATTCGAAATTACTTTCTTCTTCCCCGCACGAGATTTTAGCGTCTGACATGATAAACGCCGAGAGTATGTTACTCCAGAAAGCTCAAATGGATAGTTTCAAGGATGAAATTTTGGCCTTAATGAGTTCGAAACCTATTTCAAGATCCAGTCGCCTTTCCTCCATGTCCGTGAAGATGACAGATGGTCTCCTCACTTTGGACTCCAGAGACAGAACACAGACCAGGATTTTGTTAGACGATCGCCACAACATCGTTCGCCTATTGGTCACTCATCATCATCAGAAGGCGAGCCACGGCTTCCACGAACTAGTCCTCATTGAGCTGCGAACACGCTTCTGGATCCTAAGAGGTAGAAGAGCCATCAGAAGCGTAGCTGCCAAGTGCATGGAATGTGCTCGACGACGGAAGAAGCCAGAGATACCGCCAACTGGCAACCTCCCTGATTTAAGGTTAGAGCATAGCACCAGGCCCTTCACCAATGTGGGCTTGGACTACTTCGGGCCAATTGAAGTGTCAGTAGGGCGCCGAAGAGAAAAACGATACTGTGCGCTGTACACCTGCCTAGTGACGCGAGCTGTTCATTTGGAAGTCGTCGCCAGCCTCTCTACAGATTCCGCGCTGTTGAGTCTTCGCCGGTTCATCGCCAGAAGAGGAAGCACCTCGAAAATAATATTCGATAACGGAACGGCATTCGTCGGGGCCGCCAGAGAACTGAAGGCGCTCTTTGGACGACCACTCCAAGACTTCTCGGCTAACAACATGATCCAGTGGCATGTGGTAGACAAGGTGACGTGGCTCTTCATTCCTCCAGCAGCACCGTTCATCGGAGGCGCTTGGGAACGCATGGTTCGAACGGTCAAGATGGCACTGAAAGCCACACTTCGAGACAAGGCCCCAAAAGAAGAGGTCTTCAACACATTTCTGCTAGAAGCGGAGAGCCTTATCAACTCAAGGCCTTTGACATACGTGGCCTCGGCTGACGACGCGCCTCAAGCCATTACCCCCTTCAGTTTCCTGATCGCCCCACTTCATCAGCAAACTGGCTCGCGGGCGAACTCTCCGATGCGGACCTAGTGCGACGTGCTGATTGGCGACATGTTCTACGCCTATCCGATCACTTCTGGAGCAGGTGGATTAATGAATACTATCCAACTTTATTGAGGAGACCAGCTGGTAGAGGCACATGCCACTTCAAGGAAGGCGACGTAGTTGTCGTTGCTGATGCAACGTTACCTCGAGGACTTTGGCCGCTTGGCAGGATCACTAGGGTTCACACTGGCAGAGACAACATTGTGAGAGTGGCTGAGATAGCCACTAAAGGAGGAGTGCTTAAACGCCCCACGCGAAAATTAGTTTTATTACAGTCGGCTAACCAGTCAGCCACCACACTTTAGATTCTGCTCTGCACCAGGGGCCGGAAATGTTGGCGACTGGCTGGTTAATCATAGTCATTTTAATTATATTCTTTTTGTCATCCTTTTTATTACTTGTCTCTTTTAATTTTGGCTTTTTTCTTGTCATTCTGGTTGTTCTTGTTATTGTTCGTATTATATTTTATTTCTACTTGCAAGGCTCGCTTTTATTTGCCCGTCCACTTATTCGATAATAATATTTTTTTTTCTCTTTTCACCATTTTTAAAATTATCGACCCTGGTCTATCTCGGCGAATAATGTACTATATTTTAAATAGTTCGTTGTTTCGGCCCACAGGCCCAACCATCACCGGGCTGATGCGACGAAGCACCCTAAATTAGGTAGCTTTGGGTGCTATTATTATTATTCATTATCACTACATAGTATAAAACAAAGTCGCTTTCTCTGTCCCTATGTCCCTTTGTACGCTTAAATCTTTGAAACTACGCAACGGATTTTGATTTTAACGATTAATAGATAGAGTGATTTAAGAGGAAGGTTTATATGTATAATGGCGTCGATTCTGGCATGATTCTCTAAACTAAAAACTAAATTTAACATCAGTCTCTCTTTTTCATTCTGTATAGAGAATGACAAGGATGCACTGTTGTCAAATTTAAGATTAGGTTAAGAGAGTCATGCCAGAATCGACACCAATACATGCATAATATAGTAGAAACACTGATAATTTTAGAGGTTTTTAATGTAAGGTCGTAAATAAACACATTTTTTGCAAACGCTGGCTGAACCCCACGAGATAGATCAAAATAATGTACTACAGTATTGTACACCTTAAAAAGGTCTACAAAAAAGTCCGCGATGGTATATGTCTATCTCTTAAGGATAACCCACAATAACCAATTTTTATCCTATACTTTTTACGAGAAATAATAGATTATTTACGAAGCGATTTTAAGCAATATAACATTCATCCTTATCCAATTAAGTACCTTAAATACATTGTGCATTTAATATAGAACAATTTGGCCCTTTAACGCATATAATTTAAATGAATATTTTCGAAGATATTACAAATTTAAAATTCAGGGACATAGCGGTTCCGACGCTACCGGGCTTGGCGGCGCGTGCCTATTGTAATTGGGTATTAGAAGAATGTCATTGTGTATAATACAAGCCTGAGAACAAAAACTATAGTCTACACTACAGCTTTACACCGCAGCGAAGCGAGGGCGGGCCACTAGTAATGTATAAAGAGTAGTTCACTATTGCGATTAACTGGATTCTATAGATAGTCTGCCGGCTAATTCTACTTTTTGTCGGAAGAATATTTATTTCAAATGACTGTGACCATTTCAAAAATTTTACAGCATCATATAAGAGAAAGTAGTCGGGATTCAGTAAATAGTTCCACGAATAATATTTCACACTCACCATTATTTACTTGTTTTCTGTTTTCATCAGTAGCTGGCCTTAAGTATTTCGGATCTAGACCAATTTTGGCATTATTTTCTTCTGATTGGGGACCTGCACTATCATCAATGTTTGATCTGTAAAATTATATAAGACTAGTAACAGTTACCTATTTTCTATTCCACAACCACATAAAGTGTAGATCTCTATATTAAAGAGGGTAACTTTTTACAGTATAGTAAGATGATATAATAGGGATGTGACTTCTTCATCTATCAGGTAGATTATCAAAAAGTATTGGAGACGTTTTTTTCCTTTTCACATAATCAAAACTTTATTACGTCGCGTGATACGTCACGTCTTGGTTCCAGTTTTACTTAGAAGTGACGTCACGAGCCCTCACTTCCAAACTTTGACGCGCTTTATCTTTGACATTCATTTTTGATTGATTGAAAAAATAAAAAAAATAAGAGAAAAATATGTGACTATTATTTTTTGAAAATTTTATTTACTTTACCCCATTATCGCCAATATTATGTAGATACAAAAAGAGACTTTAATACTAAAGGAGATTGCTCAGCTTCCATACATATTTGTCCTAAAGACCAATAATCATGAAAAATTGTTTCCTAGATTCGAAATTATATATAAATTACTGTAGAAACCAATATTATTGACGAACACCCCTGAGAACTTCTATAAACCATATACACTGAACATATTAAAATATTAAAAAAAAACAAATAAGTTATATAGTAAACTAGGGAAATCAAGCCAAGTACCGAAATTATGGATTAGATTCAGGTATATAGAGCATGTAGATTAACAGATAGTTGCCTGTTTTTAAAGTTAATGCATAAGAGTAACTTTTAAAATCAAGTGTCATTTCCGATTATAATAAGGTACTCTGTGACAGAAACTGTATGATGATTGTGAATGAGCCACAGATTAGAGAGAATTTTTAAACTCTCGTTAACCAAAGAAAGCTAAGAGATTTAGGTTCTATAGCCATATATTCAGTAGCTTCATTATTTATGTTATGTTTTTAAGATAACCATATTTTAGATTTTTAGTGTATCACACCTTATAATTTTATTTATTTATTAATTTATAGTCAGGGAACGTAGGCCCATAGATAGATACCTTAAAGTCTAACATATAGACAGATTATAATGTGTTATGGAGGTGTTTGGCGAAAAATGTATGGCAATAGACTTTATGATGTCGCCTACCATCTATAATAATTGTCTGAGCACATTTGCATGTAGCGAAAATGATAATATAGTTGTGGATATTAATACCACAGTGTAATAAAAAAAAATGATTTATTTTATCGATCTTTACAAAATAGATTTGTTTTTATGTTATATAAACCACTTCGATCAGTCTTTGGCTGAATGTTACCCATAGCCATTAAAAATGATTCGTATGTTTTCCAAACCGGTAAAATTAAAGTCCTTTTTAAAGTAAATATATTATACAAAGGTGTCCGTTGAAATCTAATGACTGTAAATTAAATTATAAATTACGCCAAGAATTACAGTGTATGTGTAATATTTTGTGCATTTGGGCCAATTTGAACAATCTCCTTTACTGTGAATATATAATTACATAAATATTTTATACCACCAATAAGCTTACTTTGAAGTCCCGTAGAAATTTATTGACATATCAGACACTTCTTCAGAAGTATTGTTTTTATTGTTTTTGGCTAAAAAGTAGGGTGTAGAGGTTGACCCAACATGTATATCGTGTTTCAATGGTCTATCTGCCGTTTCGTAATTTTGGTCCATTTTTTTGTGTAACCATTGTATTACTGTAAGTTTATAAAAAAACATTTGAAATAACTAGAAGTATAGATAGCTCTTTCCTGTCTACAAAAAAACTAACTCATACATACCCATGTTGTTATTTTTTATAGTTTCATCTCGATCTTTAAGTGCCTGCTCATTCATCTTATATTTATCCATTAAGTCACTTAATTCTTCTTTAAGTTTTTCGAGTTTCTGATTTGTGGTATAAACTTCAGATTTTAATTGTTCTATTTCTTTGGAATTCGTCTCTATTACTTTTTCCTGTTCTAATGCTATTGCTGTTCGACATAGGAGCTGAAAATTAAATATTTTATTAAAATTTAGCTAATCAAGTTTAAATTAACGTAAGAAACCGGTCACGTGAATTTCATACATAATTTTTATAAGGAATATCACCTAAAAAGTATTATGCCTTTTAAGTTTAAAGTACAGCATGGCTTCAGGGCAAAAAAATCGGTAAATACTTAGCTTAGTCTGAGGCAGGCACGTTGAAATATTGTATTTTGATTTTAAAAAGGCTTTTGATAGCGTAAATTATAATATTCTGGCAAAACTAGGGACTTACTTCTTTGGGATTTATTCCACAATTATTACAGCTTCTAAAAAACTAACTCTCGGGTCGACGTCAATATGTTAAATATGTCTGTTATATTTCAGAGCCTTATGCTACACTCTCGCTCTGGTATTAACCAGGGCTCCATACTGGGACCCTTCTTTTGGAACTTAACCTCTCAACGTGTTTTGTTATGTTATTTGGTAGGTCCCATTCATCAATCACTAATAATTACATCATCAATGGCAGTTATATAAATCGCACTACAATGATGGAAGATCTCGGTGTCACATTTGATCCTGGCTTGACCTTCAACCAGCATATCACCGACATAGCTAAGGAATGTTTTCGTAGCTTGGGGTTCACGTTTCGCGATATGCATGACTTTCACAGTCATGAAGCTTAATCTCTGCTTTGTAAGAAGCAAATTGGAAACGAGTTCATGTGTGTGGAACTCACACGAAGCTAACTATAAATTGATGCTCGAGAAAGTACGAAGGGCCTTTATGATATTTGTATTTGTGTGGATTTTTGTTTCAACTGAGATCAAGTTACAATGGATAAAATAACAGCAAAATCTGGTCTTTATTCTCATAAAATGCAGTTGTATTGTTTTAGTGCACACTATAGAATAAAACAAGTTTCAACAGTATAGATGCACTGATTTATTTGTTTATTGACGTTTCTCTTCTTATTCAGGCTGCGTTGTCAGAATTATGATTTTGCTAAGAAAATAAACGTAAAAGCATAATTTTGACGATGCAGCCTGAAAAGGATGCGAAACGTCAGTAAACAAATAAATCAGTGCATCAATACCGTTGAAACTTGTTTTAGTTAATGAGTGGTATACGTGAAAGCCTAAGAAATACACTATAGAAGTCATAATGTAATTTAAATGAATCTTAAGTTTTACCTTTTCTTTTATTTCAATGAGATCTGAATTTTGTTTAGAAATTATCTGATTGGCCTTCAATAGTTGGTCTGATGTGGAATGTGCTGCTTCTGCCTTTTTGCTTGCCAATGATTCGCTTAGTGACAAGCGCTCTTCTAAACTAGTCTAGAATAAATATAAGTAAATAAATAAATTATGCTTAATGTTTAAGAGATTTCAATATTTTCTATATTGGTTGGTTGTGATTGTTTTGTTAGGGACCGTATTGTGTAACTTTTTGGCTTTCTGGCAAACAATTCATAGTTTTGTCACATTGACACCTTTTCTTTAACTTTGAAGGGCAAAGCGAAAAAAAGAAAAAGAGAGAACTAGCGCTCTGATTTGAATCTGAAAAAAAAGGTTTCTCTGACCCTTAAATTCTTAAATACATACGAATTTAAGGGTCAGAGAAACCTTTCCCCTTCAAAGTTAAAGAAAAGGTGTCAATGTGACAAAACTATGAAATGCTTCACTTTTGAGGTAAGGCAATTTATGGGATGAATTTTTGATAACATACCTTTTCTTTTTTCAACATTTGCAAGGTCATGTTTAAGTCTTTTATAGTTTCAGATTGGTCTTTCACTGTCTGTAACAAAGACACAAAATATTTTTAGTTTTAATACTTCAAAACCCGGGTTCCTCTGCATTACCTACAACATCGAGGAAAGAGTAAATAAAGGTCACCACTCATTAGAGCCACCCGCACTCTGCCCATACATCGTCGTTTATCCTACTGTAACTTACATAGTTTTAATGTCCCAGAGAAGGATACGAGGCACACAACGAAGTTAACCGTACTGAATGATTTGACTGAACTAAATGTTAATTTTACAATTACGCAAACTATAATTAATTATAATAGCCTTCGTGAGCTCGCACTCGTTGATTTTATTGTTTTCGTTTCAATACAAAAAACAGTGTTTAAATTCTATCATTAAATAATTTGTGTCTTCTTAAATTTGAAGTATATTTGGCTACTTTTCACCAAAATGGACATAGAAATAGTTTTCGTGAGCTCAAACTCGTACTAAGGGTACAGTACCCCTAGCACGAACCAATATCGAATTCGTATCGTTTGCGAGTCCGAAACGTCATTGTCAAATGTGTACTGATTTTTAGTTCCCGTTACGTACTTTGTGGCGCTGCTGTTCAAGTTTCCATACAAAATTTCACATTGACATTTCGGTTTGCAAACTAGCTACACAGCTAGTAATCGCGTACCACAGATTAATTTTCCAAATCACTAATTTTTTGTTTGAAATCGCAGGTAGTTTTCCAATTACAGAGCATAATGCGACTCAGTGCCGCACAATGCCGAATTATGCTGATGCTTAATTGAAACGTGAATTTGTTTTCAAATGCACCAGCAGAGTGCGCCAAGTCAATGTTTGTATCTTCATCCATACATATATTTATTTTTTTAACACAGTTTGAATTAATTTTGATTTTTTTTTAAATAAACCAAATGAATGAACTCAAAATGAATACTATACTAACAACGCGAAGCAACATGCTGCTTCGCGGGTGCCGGATGGCTACAATTTGCCATAACTTGTAGGCCTATTCGCTAACTGTTTTTGACAGGTGTAAGTGATGACCAAGCCCTTTACTGATCCACTACTACTTTATTATAAAGCCAATAAGATACTTTTCCAGAAAATCATGGATGGATATGCAATTTTCACGTCAGTTACACACGGTGAATTTCGAAAAAGTTAGCGAATAGGCCTGTACTGTTCGTCTATGCTTTGCTACAAAAAAACCCTGTGGCCAAATTACCGCAAGATTTTGGAATGTGAATTGTCGGACTGCTGAAGCTTGAGTGGCCTTAGGCTCTACGACGGGGCGGAGAAACATGTCGCAGGGAAATCCGCTATTTTTCGGCTTGAGATCTTTTAAAAATCTCGTTAACTTTAGCGCTGAAGTTGTAGGTAGGCCTGAGAGAACCTACTCTAAAAAATACATACCCCTAGAGCTAAATTTAACAATTAAGAAAACATTTTCATTATGTATTTAAGTATGCCCTCTGATGTAACAACGATGATGAATTTTTTATTTTGACAATATACACTTCTGGACACATCTATTGGCCCACCTTAGAGTTTAGGTTTCGATGGCCCCTACCGAAATATGATTGCTAGATTGAACAAAAACTGTTGATGCAGTTTTAAACCTGATACATTTTACCATCTTTTTCGATCGTATTGTTTTAAATTTTTTAAAAATTAAATGACGAGCCCTAACACGTCTTTTTAGCTCGTCCCACATGTGCTCAATGGGGATCATGTCTGGGCTTCTGGCTGGCCAGTCCATAACTGTGATGTTCACATCCCGAAGATATTCCCTGACGATGCCGGCCGCATGGGCTCTAGCATTATCATGCATAAAAAGGAAATTTGGGCCCACATGGTCCGCGTATGGTATCACGTGAGGTTCTAAGCACTCACGAATGTACCTTTCAGCATTTAATGTTGGCAGCCGTGGTCCTGTAACAACCTCAAGTTGAGTTTTGCCGCTCGCGGATATACCGCCCCAGACAGTCCATGAGCCACCGCCATAAGCAACCCTCTCTTCAAAGCAGCATTGTGCGAAACGCTCTCCCTTACGTCGGTAGACCTTCTTCCTTCCATCATTGCCATGTAACACAATTTTAGACTCATCAGAAAAGAGTACACGGCTCCAATCTTGCTGTGTCCAATTTAAATGACTGCGTGCGAAATAAGGCGCGCTGTTCGGTGGGCTCGCGTTAGTTTGGGCCCATTAGCTGGCTTGTGTGGTACCATATCGCGTTCTTTTAACCTTCTCCGAACAGTTCGAGCGCTCACAGATACTCCGTGGAAGTCGCGAATTTGTTTTTGTATCTCAATGGAGGTAAGGTGACGATTTCTCAAGCTGGTCGTCACGATGAATCGATCCTGCCTTTTAGTTGTGACCCGAGATGGTGGCCTTCCTTGGCGACGAACAAATCCGCCAGTCTCTAGGTACCTCCGATAAACATTTCAGACCGCAGATCGACTTAAATTAAGTTGAGCACTCACGTTTCTTTGGCTGTGTCCGGCCTGAATAAGTCCCACAGCTTGGGCGGCGACTTCAGGTGAAGTATCCATAGATTATTGATAGAACCTCACCTTAATGTTAAGAATAAGTAATGTTTGTTGCAAAACCAAAGATATCAATCACTTTTTCAAGAATTAAATCCAAGTAAACCAATAAAACCAAGTTTTCTTAGTATTCGATTGTTTGATATCAACAAACAGGCTCCAAATTGTCTTTTGTTTCTTTAAATTCTGTGTTCGAAATTCAAAAAAAGACTATTGAATGAAATTGTGAATGTGCCAGGTTCAAAAGTGCATAAAAACTTTTTCCTCGACCTAATATAAAATTTTAGCTAGGACCAAACGAAACTGAAAATACAAGGTGGGCCAATAGATGTGTCCAGAAGTGTATATCCAAATTCATTCATTCATAGTTGCTACATTTGTTAGTAAAAAATATAAAGCAAATGACCATATTATTTATTATTAATAATTACACAGCAAGAATAACAACAAGAGGTAGTTATTATCTTATTTACCTGTTCTAAATAAGTACATCTGCAATTCAATTGATTACCAACTTTTTCTTTTTCTCCAAGCTCCCTTTCTAAAGTTGTATTCCTAGCTTTCAATGTTGCCACTTCTATGTGAGTCTTCTGAACTTCTTTTTCTAATACATTTGTCCGTTGAGCTTTTTCACTGTAATCAGTACAAATAGGAGGTTGGCAATGGTGATGTGCAAAGAATTTATTTATATAAAAAATACAACTAATATGTATGAACTTGACATCAGTACCCACTTAAAAAACAAGGTAATGTGCAATAGGCTGGTTGACACTTTTTGGAAATATTTTTGAATGATTAATAACTGTTCCATTAGACCGAAAAAAATGTACTGTATTTTTTTTGACCTACAAAGCTACAAAACTGTAATTTTAAAATAAATTTTTCATGGACATACAAAAACGCTGTCGGCCATTTTAGTCTATAGATTTTATGATAAATACAGAAATTATCATGATTTTATTATACGAGAATGTAGTAGGAAACACATCGTAAAGACTCCAGAAAAGTTGTGGTTTAAATTGCCTAGAGAAAAACACATACCTACACATGAACACATGTTTAAAAGTTGCTAAATTGTGTAACTTTATCGACTGAAAGTCATTTCTTTTAAGTAAAGATCACTTCGATGTAAGTACTCATTGAATAATATTTAAGCAGCAGTCGCTGTGTTGACATTTTCAGTGCGACAGATAACAAAAAAATTACAATGGGCCTCATAAGTCGCACAGTGAGCGATGGAGTGACCTATACTCGGTGTTACTCTACGTGATTGAATAAGGATGAGGAAATATGTAGAAAAACTCGAGTAACCAACAAAGCTAAACGGATCGCTATGCTGAAGTGGCAATGGGCGGGGCATATTGTTCGGCAAAACGAATGATGTGGAAGCGCAGTGTCGTCAGACCACCTGGGTAAGGGTTTACCAGGTGGTCTGACGACATCAAGCGAGTCGGGGGACCCGCTGGATGCGGAAAGCTCAGGATCGTTTTTTTGAGATCCCTAGAGGAGGCCATGTCTAACAGTGGACGTCCAACGGCTGATTATAATGATGTACTCGAACCTATCACTGTGTTTCTTAGATTTTTAAAAATCTGTACATTTCCCCACCAGATTAAATAATTGTAAGTTTTTTTTTCTTTTGAGCATCTAACCTTCACAATCCAATAGGGCCCCAGGACGCTTGAATAAGCATCTTGGACTAAAATACTATAGTATTCAATCATAAAATTTTATGCCTTTGTTTTTGATGCTATTAAGAAAGCAAAGAAAGGGCAATGGGCAAAACACACCCAGCTTCGTCAACAATGTAATTAGTATGAATTTGTAGATCTATGAAAAACTAGCCTTTTTTATACGACACCGTAAAAAAATATCCTGGTAGTCAAAAGATATGACACCGTAAAAAAAATATCTTGGTAGTCAAAACATATTTAAGTAGCCAAATAAATTCATGTTATAGTAACTTCTTTTTATATTATTAGTAACCATAATAATATGCCATATCGTACTATACAACCAGATATACAGCAAAGCCAGCTGACTATCCTGTGCTTGCACTTACTGAGACACCTCAAAACGGTTTAGGGGGGTTAAAGGACTTGCAGTTGCAAATAGTTGACTCGTATTACTTCGTTGTGATTGTGCCGTCCCTGTCACTTGATTGATTTTGGATCCAATGTCCAAATTGGATCACGATTATAGGTTTTGTCAATTAGTGTGGATGAACTGGAATTATGTATTGCGATTAATTGAGCTGATGGCGTATCTAACGTTTTTTAATATTGTTGATTTCCACTTAGTAACTAGGGAAAATCCAGTCTATGGCACACACAATTATACCAAACAACATTTCCTGCCATACATGTAACGCAATATAATGAAAAAAAATGAAAGCAACATCAACTCTTTAAGTTCATTTACTTTAAAAATTATATTACACAGTATATTATATAAATTTCTTGTTAATTAGCAAGTATTTACCTCTGGTTGCCACATACATTGTAGGCTGCATTGTGTGATGTCAATATGAGGAACTGACCAGCATTAACCTGCCATCACATCACTCACAGTTGTTTTCTCGAATTTGAAATTATACACTTCACCATGAGCAGTGTTGCAGCGGTACTTGAAACCCAGAAATCACTGGAGACCATGTTAATGCAAAGAATGCAGCAATTCGAAGCCCAGCTGAAGATGCCTTCAGAAAAGGAAAAGGTTCCGCAGATACATGAAGAGTTTAAGGCCTTTAAGGAATTGGTTTGGAGTATCCTGTCACTACTGAGGCAGCAAATCAGTGATATATTGAGATCACTCGACCAGCACGAAGCAAGGCATCGCAGCAAACATCTGCTTCTTTGTGGTGTTCCCGAAAATCCCGATGAAGACTTAAGTTATACTATAACAACATTGCTCAAGAAACATTTGGGTGCCACAGACCTTGATCCAAGTTCTATAAAACTGTGTCATCGACTTGGATCTTTAACTGAGGGTCGCAACAGGCCTGTGGTCTTCCGTTTATCCAATTATGCTCTTAGGTCCTCTGTCTGGAAAAGCAAGTCCAAACTCAAAGGCTCTTCGCTTGTCTTGAGGGAATTTCTAACTAAGACTCGTCAAGCCTTGTTCTACTCTGCACGAAACCATTTTGGCATATCCAGTGTGTGGACCATGGATGGCAATGTTTGCATTAAGACACCGGATGGCAACCGACTGCAGATTTCCTGCAACGATGAACTCACTGCGGCTATAAACCAGTTTCCTTGTACAGAGATTGTGGACGCTCCGGCGACCAGCAGGCCCGCAGTTGACCCGGAGGTATCCCAACCGATGCCGACGCAAACTCGGTCTAAGCGTTGTGTAAAAGCGGTCAAAAAGTGAGTTTTTACTACGTGATTTCAAACTTTTGTATAGCTCTTTCGTCTTCTTTAACATCATCTGCTTGGATATGTCTTCGCTTGTTTTTTTCTGCTCGCTGCTTTAGTGTTATCATTGTATATAGTTATTGTTGCAAGAGGTGGGTAGCTTCGCTATCACTGTTTGATTTTATCAATAGTTTTTAGATAACACCCGTAATGTTATTGTGAATAGATTTATTCTTTTTTTTTTTTTTTGTTCTGTGGCTGTTTCCGTTTCACACAGAAATTTCGCCAATATCCCGTAGTGAGAGAGACACGGTAAGGGAGAGATTGCTCGGTAATTACCAGAAAAAAAAAAATATCCGAATAACCCTTCTTCCTTGAGCTTTTATTATTGTTCTTCTGAAAGCATGCACGCAAAGACAACACAGGTTTAAATAAAGTGTAGGCAATTTGATCGGTAGAAAAAAAAAAAAAAGTTTAGTTATATTTAGAGAGGATACTAACGTTATAGTTTTATATCATATTTTTTAATATATTTACATAAACAATAAAAGCCAGGTTTGTCAGAAACTGTTAAAATAGTGTTAAGGTTAACGGGACGCTGAGTTTTGGGCGGAAGTAGAGGATATAGAGACGGGTGTTTCTGACAGTTAAAGAAAATGTGGTCTGTGGTGCCTTCTTCAAGACCGCATTCGCAGATAGAGTTATCTAAAATTCTTATCTTTGCGAGAAAAACTGGAGAAGTAACATGGCCAAGACGGAGACGACTAATCGTTGTAATAACTCGTCGGGGAAAGTCGCCAAATTTGGCGAACCACGGTTTTCTCGGTATTGTTACCTGGAGGCGGCCATAATGGCGGCCTATAATTTTGGAGTTGCGGCTCCATCTCGTCTCCCATTCAGACTGAAGGTCAGTTTTATGCACAGGTAACCCTACCTAACCTGGGGAGAGCAGTCTGTCTGATCAATCAAAACCTAGCTAGGATACTTGAGTGGTCTAATAGCTTCGGGATTAGCATAAACCCAGTCAAGTGTCAGGCTATCATTATTGGCGGTTCACGACAGATTTCCCAGCTGCATTTAAACACAGTACCAGCAGTTACATTCAATGGTTTAGTGATACCTTATTCTGCGAGGGTAAAAGATCTTGGGCTAGTACTTGATAACACTCTAAGCTGGGATGGCCAAATTGAAAATATAGGCCGCAAGGTGAATGGTACACTAGGTTCACTTTACCGCTTGAAGAATTTTCTCCCACCGTGTACTAAGATCGCACTCATTCAATGAATGAACAAGGGTTCATCCCCTACTTGATTATGCCGATGTTTGTTTTACTGACATAAATCAAATATTTATAACTAAATTGGATCGACTCCTCAACAACACTATTCGCTTCGTTTTCGGTTTGCGAAAATACGACCACATTTCTGAATTCCGCAGTAAACTTAAGTGGATGCCTATTCGGGAGCGTAGACACTTAAGGATAGTTTGCACACTTTACAACATACTTTATGATCCACTTACTCCTGGATATCTAAAATCTCGTTTTCAGTTCCTGGGGTCTTCTCATCAATTAAATCTTCGTTCTAATAATAATGTGATTCTTAGTGTACCTATTCACCATACCGGCTTTGTCTCCAGTTCATTTACTCTTACTGCCATTCGGCTCTGGAATGCACTTCCTTTACACGTGCGAAACGCTCCAAACAAGACTGCGTTTAGGACTTTGGCGCGGGAACATTTCTTTAATCTCTTGGAAAGCGTTTGAGTTCAGTCAGATAACTATAATCGGACACTGTTTAAATATGTATATGTTTTATGTATGAATTTTTGTTTATGTGTAATATATTATTAGATATAGAGGATATGTATTTAAGTATGTGTATATATAATTATGTTTATGTTTTAATTTTGTTTTTCGCATTGTTTGATGTTAACTTTCTTTTTTTTTTATTCTTTGCCGTTATATTCGCTCTGCACTTTCTTTCCGGTTGACTGGTAGAGAATGCCATATTGGCATTAAGTCCGCCATTTGCATATAAGGCAATAAAGATTAAATAAATAAAAATATAATAATTAATTGACAGACAGACCTTAGCTGTGTTTCTAAATGTCCAATGTTCTCTCTGAGCTGCTTACAATTTATGTTCAAATCTTCAATCTGTTTATCTTTACGGTTCAAATGCTCTTGTGATTTGGCAAGCTGTGCATTAAAATTCTTCTCAAGGGTACTTTGCCACTGCAATTTGTCCTTAAAAAAACATCAATGGTTTAACTATGCAGCACACTTTAACATTACATAGTATTAATTGAACAGCATAATATAAATCTTAAGGAAGTGTTGTAAGTAAGTAAGCATAAGTTACTTGTGATAGTCTATCTCTTTCTTGTTTTATTAGGTCCTGGTGCTCTGTCTCTCTTCTATGTTTATCTTCCTCTAGCTTAGACAAAGCAAGAGTGAGATCATGCAATTTCCTCTCTAAATTGACACACTTATCACTCCATAAAGCATCACTATTAGATGCAGACATTTTCAGGGCTGATAATGTTTTCTGTAAAGAAAAAAACAAAGATAATAATAATAATAAACTTTCTTTCTCTCCACAATCTTATACATGCTTCATGAGTAACAGATTTAAAAACTTAGGTCTAAGATTGTGAGAAACTGGTGACCAAACTAAGCTGACGCCTGTGTGTCAGTGCACCAGCCTCTCCCCGCTTAAGAAAGTGTTCAAGCAAAAAAAAGGAGAACAACGATAAAATTACATTTATATTATTTTGCATGATATGGAATATGGTAGTGTTGGTTGTGAGTATGGTGTTTATGTGCATGTGTGAAGTTTGTGTGTGTGTGTGTGTGCGTGTTTATGTCCATGTGTGAGGTGTATGTGTGCGTATATGTGTGTGTTAGTGTGCGTGTGTGGAGGGGGCGTGTGGGACTGGCTCGTAATTCAAGAATTCATAAGGCTTTCTGTTTCAAAATAGTTTAGGTTTTGCAGGAAATTGGTGACTTTCTTCTTGCAGCAGAATCTGGTGAGTAAATGTATTGACAATTTTCGATTTAGTTTGTTGTAGAGAAATGGTCCAAGAAAACTATAAAAACGATTAGAGAAAGAGGTGTTAAGCATAGGAGATACATATACGCGGCATCGTGCTGTACGCGTAGTTATTGTTACAGGTATTCGATCTTTATGCTTTTTTAGAATAGTATACAGGATAAACAGTTGTCTTACAGTGAGCACTTGCGTGATTTGATATAACTCAAACATGGGAAAGAGAATTGGCTTGAACATACACACTTTCAGTATAGCTCTTTGAGCACGCTCTAAGCATAGAAGGTTGGATTTGGCGGCTCCACCCCAGGTGGTAATGCCATACATGAGTATAGATTGACAAAGTGCTAGATAAACCATTTTAATTATATGCGGGTCGGCAACATGACGTATTTTTATGAAAACATATATAAGCTTACGGATTCGGCCAGAGGTTATTTTGAGATGAGCTTTAAAGTTAGGTTTATTGTCTAATGTGACACCTAGATATTTAATGGATTCTACACAAGTTAGTGAAGGACAAGAACACGGAAAAGGAATATCAGATGAATGTAAATGGGTTATTATTTTATAAGGAACCACAGTTGCCGGAAGAGAACGAATAGAAAAAGTAAGGTAACAAGTCTTTTGGATGTTGAGGGTTAGAAGATTACAGCGCAGCCAGTCTGAGACAAGGTTGAATCCAGACTGAGCGCAGTCAAAAACCTCCTTCCACGTGTCACCCGAGAACAAAAGGGCGGTATCATCGGCGTAGCAGACAACTTTGCCGCTGGGAACAATGAGGGAGCACAGTTCATTAATGTACACGAGGAAGAGTGTTGGGCCAAGTATACTCCCTTGCGGAACGCCATACTCTATCGAAGCATAAGGTCCAGTGTACCCATCAATAACAACACACTGACATCGACCACTTAGATAGCTATTGAATAAGGCTAGCTGATTACCACGTATACCAATACTTTCTAATCTCTTCAAAAGGATTTGGGCCGAGACCGTATCGAACGCCTTCGCGAGATCTAAAAAGATAGCGAGACATTTTTTGCGATTGTCCAAATCTCTGACAATACAATCCGTCAGTTCTTGCACAGCATCAGATGCAGATCTATGAGATCTGAAGCCAAACTGATTACAAGATAATAGTCCCTTTTCCTCAAGAAATTTTACCAATCGCTTATTAATTAGGCGTTCCAGAACTTTAGACAAGGCAGAGAGGATAGAAATTGGTCGGTAATTGTTAACAAGGCCACGGTCCCCGCTCTTAAAAATAGGGTGGATGATAGCTTTTTTAAAAGCAGATGGAAAAATGCCAAGGTTCATAGAGAGATTACATATATGAGTTATTGGAGGTGCTAGAATTTTGAAGTAACGTCTTAACAACGATGAAGAAATATTGTCCCATCCAGTAGCACAGTTGTATCTCAACGAAAAGATTGTGATTTCCACTTCTTCAATTGTAGTGTCAACCAACGCAAACGATTGTAAAGAAGGATAGGAAGATGAGTTAGATGAATACTATACTATATAGGTGGTAGACTCAGTAGGGGTTGGCTTACATTGTAGCAGGTCACTGGATCTGGTGGAGTGCTAGGTCGGACAACCTCCTCGCGGTGCACCCTGGGCAACGTCGGCTTGAGCGGAATCCATGCTCGCCGGCGGCTAATGGTCTGACAAGTGGCTCCCGTGGTGAGGGAGCGTAGTATGGCTGGATTTTATTCGGCGGCCGCATTTCGTGGCTTGTGGGGGCGATTTTCGCCATAGCGCTTTCGCCTGTCGGTTACCACGGCTGGCGACCTGGGGAGCCTGGGCCGCGGCAGTCGTGGTGTGTCCGTTCACGGACGGGGCGGTTGTGGCGCGAATTCCGCGTCGCTTCCGGCCGACCCGTAACCCTGCACATGGTGCGGGGCCGGGGGCCGCCACCTTTCGGGGTGGGGCCACAAGGAGTCAAACTTTTCAAAAATCACAATGATGAGGCCAGGTAGGGTCCCCCTCGCTCGGAAGAGGGGAAAACCTTTATGATGGTAGGTTCGAACAAAACAACTACCCCAGGGGGTACTAATCCCCCCCGTAGGACCGCGGAAGGCTGCTGCGGGCAACCGGTGTATTCTGGGGCCGGTTGAACAAACCCTCATTCCTCATGCGATCCCGTCGAGAGGAGCGGGCGCCAGTCGGTATCCGGGCCGGCTGGTGTTAAATCTGTAACCGAGGCGTTGGTGGGAGACCCATGTTACCCCGTTGGGACCGGGCGCTCGTCGATATCCGGGTCGGCGAGTGTGAAATCTGCTACCGAGGCAGTGTGTGTGGTGGTACTTGAAAAAGGCCCTTTTCAGGGCCAAACCAAAGGCCCTTCTCAGGGCCAACCCAAAGGCCCTTCTCAGGGCCAATCAGGAGACGGTGCACTCCCTTACGAGAGTGCTGAGGACACGCCTAGAGCCGCGCGGTCGCGGTCTGGCTCGGCGTCTTCCTCAAGATCTGTAAACAACTGTGTCGGTTCAAGATCCGGTGTAAAGGTAACAGAGTCGGCTGTTGCGACTCCTTCTAGAAAGCGTCAGGCTGACGAGACTGATTCATCGTCGTCTAAGTCGGCCCAGTCCGTTATTTCTGCCACGGACTCGGTTCTAAATACTGAGGGTGCTTCCGACGTTGCATCCAACACCTCGCGGCGTCGGAAAAAGATTAAAAAGAAAAGTTCGGTAGATCATTCAGTGGGTTCTACGTCGGATACTGATGCTCCGGTCCCCGGTTTGCCGAAAAAGGTTGCAGGGCGAGGGCGCGGTCGTGGCCGCCCTCCTACCACTGGGGAATATGTTGGGCTCGCCAGAGCCAAACAGGAGGCGGCGGAGGCTGAGCGAGCTCAGCAACAGGTCCGCCTTGATAGAGAGATAGCCGAGGCGGAGAAACGGGCCTACGACACCAGGGCGAAGTACATGGCGAGCAGGATAGACGACAGCGCATCAAAGCTGACGGGTTCCGCCCCTAAAACCTCCCTCGACATCGAGGAGGTTATAAAGTCTGACTGCTCAGTTATTCTTCGCGGACCGCCGTCGTGTGCGCACCGTTTACGAAGTGCTCCGCGCATTGAAATTTCATTACCTGTTTCAGAGCTGCTTTCAGTGCCTGAAGTGTTATTTTACTGTGCGAATAGATAGTGTTAACAACTAGATTTAACGATAGGACGATTACTTTGTGTTTTGTGCTGTTATTTAGTGTTTTAGTGATTGGATTGCAAGACGTTGGTGCGAGTCCCGAGAGGTGCCTGTTTTCGCCTGCCTGGAGGCGGGATACGGGCTAATCAGGAATAACCCTATTTATATTGTTTAGTTATAAGTAAAGACAGTGACTTTCTTAGTAATTAGTGTAGATTTAATTAGTTTTTGGACATAATTTGTAGGTTAGATTAGGTTAAACACGTGGTTTGAGGTTAGGCCCATGCGGTCAGGTACCTCCATTTAATTTTTATTTGCAATTTAGGGTAGGACGAGAACTCTTTTTAAAAATAGGTGTAGGTAGTAAGTAGGTTAAGACAAGTTTGACGTAGTTGTCACTGTCACTGGTACTGTCAGTGTCAGTGTCACTGTCGGTGAGTGACAGCTGTCTTATTGACGGCTGTCAGTGTTGAACTGCGTTCCATTTTACGCATTTAATTGTACAGTGTTGCCAGACTATTAAATATTTACCGTATTTTGGGCAAATATGAGTTCCTCGGAGGACGGAGACCCCAAGGAACTATTTGCGCCCAGGAAGTCGCTCATGCGAACTCCACCGGGGCGATTCGCGGCGCCTGCGCGTAGTCAGGGAGCAGTGGACGTCGAAACGGTGGTGTCGGCAGTCTACGAGGCTGTGGTGGCATCCCTGTCGCCAAGGAAGTCGCCTGCTGAACAGCAGGAACAACTGTCAGCTACTTCGATGACGGTGACCGAGGGGAGACAAATTGCTAGGGAGGCCAAGCGGCTGTTGTCTCCGGACGACGTCATAGCAGAAGGACGTCCCAAGAGGAGGACGCTAAAGAAAATTGGCATAACACAGGCTGGCCCTAGTATGCAGGAGGACGGAACTCCAAGTGCGGAATTCGTGACGCCATACGCATCCGAAGGTGATTTTGAGGATGAGCAGGTGGATCTTTCTCGGGCTACGTCCCGACAGCTGCTGGCTAAGGCGAATGCTGCTGCACGGGTGATCTCAGGGGTCGCCGGTGCAAGCAACAAAATGAATAAGACCGACATATCGACAATAAATAATCATCTATCAACAATCATGGAGATAGTTGGCCAACTGGGCCTTATTGCGGAGGAGGACAGGGGCCGCATTAACGCTGCCAAGACCCGGGCTGCGACTCTTGACGCTGCTTACGCGAGGGAGCAGGAACGAGTGGCCAAGGCGGAAGCTGAGGCGGAGGCCGCCCACAGAAGGGCAGAGGAGGCCACAACAACTGGGGCTGTGGCAGGAGATATACGCGGACAGAGTTCGTAAGAGTCCGCCGGCTGGGCCTGTGATGGCAGTGTATCCGGCAGAGGGTTCGGAACTGAAGTCCTCGGAAGAGACCAAGGCGATGTTGAAGACCTCTATCGCCCCCGCCCGACTTAACATTCAAGTAGACAGGGTCCGAAGGGTAGGCAAGGCAGGAGTGGTGGTGCAGACCAGGACAGAGCAAGATCTGTCTCGACTCAAGGCGGTACCGAGTACACTAAAGGCCAATGATCTAAAAGGACGCGCCCCACTGGTTGTGATCAGGGACCTAGATGGCAAGGATCCGGATGTAGAGGCCACAATGAAGATGGTCCATAGGCAGAATTTTGAGGAAGACAAAGAGTGGACCTGTAAAAAGATTCTGTCCGAGTGCAAATTAGCGTTCCGAAAGAGCCGAATCGGAGGTACGAAGTCCTCAATGGTACTGGCCTGCAGCGCGAAGCTGCGGAAGGCACTCGTGACAAAAGGCCGACTGTATATTGGTTGGGAAGTGTGCAGGGTGGAGGACTTCACCACAGCGGCGTTGTGCGGTAAGTGCTGTACATATGGGCACAACGAGAAGAAGTGTCACCAGGACGGGACAACGTGCTCAAGGTGCGGTGTTGCAGGCCACAAGGCGGTGGACTGCAAAGCGGAGAGCGAGCGGTGTGCAACCTGCCATCGCTTCGGACAGAAAGGTGCGGCAACTCATGTCACGGGGGCGAGAGACTGCCCAGCCAGAGTGCATGCAGAGAGGCGTATGGCGGAAACTACGGCCTACTAATGGCTCCAATAACAAAATATACAGTTGGCCAAATAAATTTGGCGGGGGCAGAGCTTGCCACAGTGGAGCTACCCCAGGTAGCAGAGGAATTGGGCCTAGACGTCGTTCTGGCTCAGGAACATTATCCTAGCCCAAATTGGAGTGCCGCGAGCAGTGTACTGCAGTGCGGCGAACGACCCAAAGCGTGCATTTATGTCCGTCGTCGGGACCTCCCATGTGCCCTCTTACACCACCTGTCGACTACGCACTGTACAGTGTGTCATTTGCTCACCGACGAAGAGGGAATCTACGTGGTGTCCGCGTATTTTCAATACAGCGACGACATTAATGTGCACCTGGAGCAGTTAGGCAGAGTCCTGGATTCCTTGAAGGGGAAGAGGGTCGTTATTGGGGTTGACTCCAATGCGCACTCTCCAATGTGGTACTGCGAACCGCGGCAGTATACGGGACGTGGGCCAGACGTCACGCACCGCCGTGAGTCCATGGAGGCGTTTATCCTGGCCCGGGGCCTGCAGTTGGCGAATAGGGAAGGAGAGCCTTCGACCTTTGCCACTGCGAACGGAGCGTCCAACATTGACCTCACATTAACGACAAGAGGCATCCCGGTGACGGGATGGAGAGTGTGGGAAGACAAGATTGAGAGCGACCACCGTCTCATAACGTTCGAGTTGGCAAGCACGAGCACTCCACGCGCTGAGCCGCCAGAAGAGCTTCCGAGACTCAGGGACCGCGGTGTGGACTGGCCTCTCTTCGAGCGCCGGATCCATGGGAGGGTGGGTAACTTGAAGTGGAAGCGGCCCGCCTCGGCGATCTGTGCTCAGTTCGCAGCTCTTGTTTTGAGCACCGCGAAGCAGACGCTGGGGTTGGCGAAAAATAGGAATTCGGACACAGGACATGATTGGTGGACGCCCGAGCTTGATCGGCTGCGTCATCTCAACAATAAGTTGAGACGAGTCTGGCAATCGACTCGCCGCGCCGGTGGCCTGGTTGAGGAGGAGGCTAGGGGGCGCTTCCACGTGCATAGGCGTAGGTATAGGGCGGCCATGGAGGAGGCGCAACTTTTGCACTTTAGGAAAATCGCCGATTCCGGAAACCTGGACCCTTGGGGACAGGCCTACCGAGCCGCGAGTGGGAGGTCTAGGCCTCCCCGTAACGTAATTAATGGCACGAAGTTCGCCGAAGGATATGCTGGGAGCGTGAGCGAGGCTATGCACAGCCTCATGTATGCTCTCTGTCCGGACGACGATGTGTCTAAGGACAGCGAGTACCACAGGCAAGTGCGGTTAGTAGCCTCGCTCATACCCTCAGGAGAAGATGCGCGGCCTCCAACCGACAGCGTAGTTGCAGAGATAGTCAAGGACTTGCCGAACACTGCACCGGGTATCGATGGGATCTCCGCTCGTATCATCAGACACGTTTGGGCAGCCGCGCCGGTTGAATTTACAGAAGTGTATAGGCGATGTGTTCAAGAGGGACGATTTCCTGATACGTGGAAGGACGGCAGGTTGATTGTCCTCCCGAAAGGGAACGACAGGCAGCTTTCCGACCCAAAAGCGTATCGCCCCGTCACTTTGTTGCCGATCTTTGGTAAAATCTTAGAACGCGTAATGTTACGGTGTGCACCGCAAATAACCAGAGGTTTATCGGACTGCCAGCACGGGTTCACTCGAGGTCGGTCGACGGTGTCCGCCCTGAAAGAGATCTTTAGGGTGGCCAGAGAGAGCTCGTCGAAATATGTTCAAGCGGTATTTTTGGATATCTCTGGGGCCTTTGATAATGCTTGGTGGCCCATGATCCTGCTCAAGGTGAAACGCGGAGGATGTCCGCCTAACATCTTTAGGATGTTGGCGGATTACTTCGTCAATCGCCGTGTGGGCTTGTTCGTGGGTGATCGGGTAGTGTGGAAGGCGGCAACGATGGGTTGCCCGCAGGGATCGGTGTTGGGACAAACGCTCTGGAACGTGCTCATGGACGACTTGCTTCGACTGCCACTACCCGGGGGGGTAAGCATGGTGGCGTACGCCGACGACGTCACGATCCTGATTGAATCCGGAGCCCGGGCGAGCATAGAGGCCACGGCCTCTACGGTTTTGCAGCTCGTCGGTGAATGGGGGGCCCGTAATAGGCTGGACTTCTCTCCTGCAAAGTCTGTTACCATGACGATCAGGGGGAAATTCCAGCGGCCACCCATCATCCGGTTCGGGGGGAATTCCATCAGGAGCGTGACGTCGACCACCGGGTT